GCAATAGCGTTTGTTAAACGTATCATGCTTTGTCTATAATACTTTATAATACTTCATCCCTGGAATTCAGCTTTAAATTTACAAGTGTATCCCATGTATTGTATGTGTTGTTCTCAGCGCTGGCATTCATTAGCATTAAGAGAGCTCCCTCTGGTGGTCACAGTCAGCGCTGTCACATTTAACACCAGGAGTATGTTTTAGTTCTTCATCATTGCCATCGATTATCTTTCTTTCCCATTTTCTACAAGTCTTCATTTTGCTGTGTCTGTCTGGCCCTGTCCACTTCTTCACATATTACAGACCGTGATATATAAGTATATGATATAAGTGAACCTGTACCACTGTGTGTGCAAGACGAGGACTGAACTTCTCCAACAGTTTTAAGCACGACAACACTTTCCTTCCTATTATGTTATGTAACACTTTCCTTCCTATTATGGGTCCCATCAGCTTCATGAAAGACGGATAGCATGTGCAGGAGTCTAAAGACCAGTCTAAGGTTCAGCCCCTACCCAAACAATGCCAGAATTAGGGGAAATTGTTAAAGCTCAACATTGAGTCCAGGCCTTCATCAGTTGAACACACCTCTGTAGAAAGTGGTGATGATGTGATGATGTCAGTGCCACCGTCCACAGGTCCATTGCACCCTGCATTCACAGTAGGGATGCACTGATAGCAATACTAGTATTGGTGCCGATACCGAGTATTTGGGCAAGTACGAATGCTCCCGATGCCTATCCCATTACTAGAACTTCGGTATCAGCTTTTCTGATTGGCCAAGAAGCCACCTGAAAGCATGGAGCTGGCTTCCTGGCCAATCAGGAAGCCAGGGCGTGGGGGGCGGATAATGTCTTGCCCCCCACCTTCCTGATTGGCCCGGAAAGCTGATTAGCCGAGAAGCCATCTCCCTGCTCCCTCGTCAACAGGTGACGAGGGAGCATGGAGCCAGCTTTCTGGCCAATCAGGAAGCCAAGGAATGTGTAATGACTCGCCGCACCAGCTTCCTGATTGGTCGGGAAGCTGGCCAATCAGGAAGCCAGGCGGCTAATCATTACCTGAAAGCCGTCTCCATGCTCCCTTGTCACCTGGTGATGAGGGAACGGGGAGATGGCTTCTCGGCTAATTGGGAAGCTGGGTGGCGAGTCATTACACGCCTTGGGACCTCCGGTTTCGGTATTTCGTATCAGCGAGTAGCTAAAAGAAATTATCGTTACTCATACTTGATACAGAAAAAATTGTATCAGTGTATCCCTAATTCACAGTATTGTCCCCAGTCTTCAGGGTGGAGTGACACTGGGCTTTACCAGTTTGATGTGAAGGAGCTCAAGTGGCCTACACAGAGTCTTGACCTCAACCCTACTGAACATCTTTGGGATGAATTGAAACGCTGGTGGTGAGCCAAGACTTCTCAACCAACATCAGTACCTGACCTCACAAACGGGACAAATGCCCACAGTCATCCTCCAAAAGTTTGTGGCAAGTCTCTTTAGGGGATTGGGGGTTGGTGAAGGAGAAGGGGGTGTTGAGTGAGGACTCCATATTAATGGCCATGGCTTTAGAATGAAATGCCCAACAAGTTCATATAGGTGTGATGGTCAGGTGTTCACCAACATATAGCGTATCTGGAACACACCAGAACATGTCATGTAAGGGCATAATAAAGAGACCCTGTCACCAAATTTTTTTCAGGTAAAAGCACAGAAAAAGCAAGTGTTTCAAATGCTTACTTGCAGTTTGTATTTTCTTTCCATATATAGCTTTTTCTTCACTTGCAATGTGCCGTTGAACCTAGAAAATGTGACAACACCAGCAAGAGTCAATGTCCAAGCACAGCCCCCCCTCTCTCCTGACACGTAATAGCCCACTCTTCTTCTGGGAGTGTCTAAGTACTCTTTGTGCTGGCCCAGCTCCGCCGTCCTTCCCCTCACCCCCCTACATAACCTTGTATGCAGCTGCCAGGAGAGGTGCTATAGTATAGATATTGATTGACAGCTTTGAGTCTGCTGGGGTGACTGACATCTCATTCATGATGGCGGGAACCCAGCAGCAGTCTCAGGGCTTTTGGATGTCTACACAAGGGAGGCTTTTACAGGTAAATAACATGACAAAAAAAAATAGACGTATATATTCCAATGGAACATTTTGTGTTAAAATAAATGGTCTTGTAGCCCACCAAGTGGCCGCACAGCCTAGGCATTGGCCACGCCACAGGCTGTCCCTCTGTCTCCCACCAGTGGACTGGAGAGTGCAGAAAGTAAGCAGGAAGTGTCCTCAGTGCAGTATGGGTTTCGGCCATTTTGTTGGAGACCAGGAAAGGAGAGCAGGGCTGTGATTGGCAGCACTTTAAGCTTTGCTAAAGGTGGAAGTGTGCAGCCAGGATTCAAGCCTGGGGACAGAGAGCCGTAGTCAGGGTCTCAGCACTATAGATAGGCCATACTGTTTTCTCAAATTTGGTCTTAAGAGTGTTTGCATTAAGTGGTAGATATTGTGCTCACCCTGTCATTGTCACACTTTTGTAATAGAGCAGCGGTAGCCAAACGTCGGCCCTCCAGCTGTGGTAAAAGCTGTGGATGCATCTCTCTCCGGGAGTCATGTCTGTGACTGTGAGAATCTTGCAATGCCTCATGGGATTTGGTAGTTTCACCAAAGCTGGGGGTCCGGAGTTTGGCTACCCCTGTAATAGAACTTCCTTTTGTAGGGCTTTTCTTTTTAAATAAAGTCCCTATCATTAATGCCACCCTGAAAGCTAGGGGGGGGGGGCTGGTGCTGGTGGAGAGTGATGCTGCTGTAGCGCTCACCCCCAAAGGAGCCGCTGAATGATCGGGTCTTCCAATAGCCTGTCTAGGGATTTCTAAAACACATGGCTGTAATAGCACTTACCACATCCAGTGGCGACCGACAAAGTGAAGTCCAGGCAATAGATCCAAGCTGATTCTCTTTATTGCTGAACTCCAGGGAAAGAGGGTCAGGTACATACAAGATAAGGTAGACTCCTAGTACTTGAAATAGAGCATAGTAACTGCTGCCATCACAGACTTGGACCTTTAAGCTGTACCGGCAATCTGTGGGGAGAACTTCTGGCAAGCAGTACTTTCAAGGTTCTTGTCTATGTTCAACTCCAACATAAGTGGCTGACCACTGGACCTCCAGACTCAGGCCCCAGTGTCCAGGCTTAGGCCTAGCCCATTCTGTCTCTCAGCAGCAGGCATCCTGCCCCCAGGAAGGCCCTGGGGGAGGGAAGAGACTGTTTCATCAGCCACACTCAACATTTATATCTTCTCCCAGCATGCATCACTGCTACTGCCCTACAGTGATTGGCTGGGAGACATAAATGACCATAGCAATCCTTATTGGCTGTTCTGCTCTGTGTGGTACCACACTCAACAGCAGGCAGGTACAGACTACTTGTCGGGTCCCGGTTCGTAGACCATGTCGGGTCCCGGTCCGTAGGCCAGGGCAGGTCCCGATCCAGGCTCCTGTGCGGGCACGCGCACGAAGGGGACGTCCGCCGGCGCTTCCAGGCCGCGCAGGCGCAGACGTTAGACGACCCGGCGGGGTCACGCGGCGTGACGTCACCACGCGGATACGTTCCGGTGACGTCATCGCGCCGGCGCATGCGCAATAGGCCATCCCTGGGCTATATAAGGCGCATCTGATCAGTCGTTCAGTGCTGAGTGATCTTCAGCCTGTATGGATGTCATTGTCTTGCTCCTGTCTTTTCAGAGAAACCTGTGATCTGGCTTACTCCTGACGATTCTCTTGCTTAATCCTTGTACTGCCTATGCCCGCCTGTTATCGACCCTGCTTGCCTTTGACGACTCTTCTGGATTACCCTCGGTACTGCCTTTGCCCGCCTGTTGCCAACCCGGCTTGTTCCTGACGATCCCTTGGACTTCCCCAGTACCGCTCGTGCTGCCTGTGCTGGATCCAGTTTGCCTCCTGACCTCCCCGTTGGGCAACTTGACGGCTAACTGCCCTATCAGGTCTCCACTCCTCCGAAGCAACCCGGAGTCAACACCCGGCACCCGTGCACCCCCTGCCTGCGCACACTGTTTGTCAACCCCAGTGGTCGCAGACGGGGTTGCAAGGGAGGACCTACTCGTCAACTCGGACCCACAACCTTAGCCCTAACACTACTAGACTACAGATATATTTTAGCACTCCTATTAGCAGGGTGCTACACTGCCCAGAGCCAGTGGCGTGACTGGTTGCCGGGAGGGGGCAAAAAAGAATGTTAGGAGCTGGGCGGAGAGATGTGCATGGCCCTTGCAAACATTGTGCAGCAGAGTGGCCATGCCATTCTACCTGCCTTTCCCCTACATGACCCAAAGAGATGCCGCCTGAGTCAACAGCCTCAGAGCGCCTTATTATAGGGACGGTCCTGTGTGTTGGTGAGCGCATGGTTCAGTCCAGGGCGGGTCACCACTAGGGGATGGTAGAAGGACCTATCTATTCAGCATCTTCCTGAGGAACCAGCTTTCCCAATCCAGAAAGGAAATTGTACCGTCCGACTGTAACATGTGTGACAAGTAAAAAGTGAACCTATGGTTTGCCTGTGCAGGTCAAAGAAGTAAGTTCACTTTAATGCTGTCCACCCCGTCCAGCCCCCTTTTCCAGCAACAAATAGTCATCTTTCCTTTGCTTCCCCTCTGCTTCATATGTCTACAATGGAGGGATTTGAAGAATTCACCGAATCTCTGATGACGTTTCCCAACTCTCAAATCAAACTGTGTTTATACATTTCTTTTTCCTCTCATTTTCTTCTTTGGAAAGTCCCAGGTGCCTCTTCGCTCCTCCGGGGGTAAAGATATTTAAATACTCTTCCAGTCAGCTATATTTCAAGCATTTAGCTGCAAAGCTGCTGGATATAAAACCAATATAAAACTATGGAGTTGTAAAGCAGAACTGGTAGAACCGGCACCGAATAAATTCTGACCGACCAGTTTTGGAAATTAGAAAATCGTTTTCCACCTTCCTCTTACTTTGATTCTCATCAGAGCATGTCACCTGTGGCAGTAAGCTTGTGCCTTCTTTTCCACCATCTCATCCATGTGAAAACTGAGTGTGTCCTGCACCATCAGGGGGTGACCGGGTATGTACAGAAGGCCGATATTCTTATCGGTGGGGTCTTTCCTCTGCACCTAAATCCCGGGACAGAACCAGAAACCTTCAGGACACCACCAAGCCTTCACTCGTGCCAACAGTGAGTATATAAAGGGTACCTAGATCTTAATATAAGGATAGGTAGAAGTCAGACACCAGTCAGTTCAAATGAGCAACTTTGATTATAGAGATGGGAAAAGCTTGCGTTCAGTGACCACAATAGATTAACAAATGTAGATGCCAACCGAAGAAAATTAGGCAGATTCACAACCTGGCTACTGAAATTTTCCCACTACAGCATTTTAAAAGAACCTTTCCTGAGAGGGAGTACAGTCATGTAGGGGATCCCACTGCACCCCTGACTGAAAATGCCCCAACTTCCAATGGGGGGGGTGCTGAAATGACAGCGGATGGCACCGCTGGATCAAATAAAAAAAACAGTAAGTCACCAGCACTCCAAAGGTTCTCCAAGCAAAGTGTGGCGGAGTAGCTGCATCCAAGCCTTACATCACCAAGTGCAATGCAAGGCGTGGGATGCCGTGGTGTAAAGCACGCCGCCACTGGACTCTAGAGAAGTGGAGACGTGTTCTCTGGAGTGACCAATCACGCTTCTCTGTCTGGCAATCCGACGGACGTGTCTGGGTTTGGCGGTTGCCAGGAGAACGGTACTTGCCTGACTGCATTGTGCCAAGTGTAAAGTGTGGTGGAGGGGGGATTATGGTGGGGGGTTGTTTTTCAGGGGCAGGGCTTGGCCCCTTAGTTCCAGTGAAGGGAACTCTAAAGGCATCAGCATACCAAGACATTTTGGACAATTTCATAATGACGTTGGCAGTGGTCCTGCACTGATTACAGTCCCAGCTGGATGACATCAACTTGAGGAACGGCAGAAAGACCAGTCAGAGACCAGCATACAGAGTTGACTTCAGCAGACCGGTCATCAGAATTGGAGGGGTGATGGATCACGGGAGGATCACACAGAGTACAAAGCAAGAAAAACTGAGATATGTCAGACGCACTACCCCTGTATGGAATGATTGGTGGAAACTGTGGATACCGGTGGTAGGTGTGCGAGCTCCTAAAACAGGCAGAGGTGTCCTGTATGGTACCATGGAGAAAAAAGCAAAAAGGAGCACTACAACCTAACACAGTGACCGGTATATGAAGATGAATATGTGACAATTTAATAAATGTTCTAAATGGATATGGCAATCCAATGGTAATCCAATAGTGAAAATGGCTCGCATCAAGTGAGTGCCGTTTTTACTATTGGATTACCATTGGATTGCCATATCCATTTAGAACATTTATTAAATTGTCACATATTCATCTTCATATACCGGTCACTGTGTTAGGTTGTAGCGCTCCTTTTTGCTTTTTTCACGCAGGTTACAGTAGATATTACAAGGTCTAAGGTCACTTACTTTAAATAAAACATAGACTTTTATAGGTTACTATGGAGTGACTTTTATTATGGTTTTTATTTAGTTCACTCACAATGAGGACATGCCTGTGGTTTCCTTAAGCTGACTGTGCTGGGTGACATTACTGCTCAACGGATGTGGCCAACCAAACACTCACTGAAAACAAATGCTGGAACTTCACGCCGTGTATTTGATTTTGAAAATGAGATTGTGGAAAGTTAATATACAACTCTACAGGCTGCATATAGAACAAACACCAACATATATAGCACACAAATGTCAGGGACACTGGTCATAACACATCGAATGTGGGTGAGAAGCCAATTAGCCAATTACTAGGAGGTTCATGGTCAGTGCTGCATGCTGGTGGAGGACATAAATATTCAGGGCTTGTGAGTGTCTTTTTCCCCCCTGGGCCTCCTGACTGGGGGTGGGTGTGTGATGTGAGTTGCTGTCTAACCAGGGCTGCAGCCTGCATGTGGTCAGGTATGGACCCAGTCTGGGATGGAGAACTGGGGAGGACCTTCATCTGCTGAAGGTACCAGAGAAGCCAGAATAAGCTTGGACCTTGCAGGAAGTCTGGTGTCTCACCTAGGGAGTTAGGTGCTATGTCTGCTGCCCAGCTAAGGTTTTTCAATACACAGTGTTACTGCAATCAGTTGAAAGGCCCTCTGCACTGTGAAGCTGGGAAGTGGTCAGCAAGTCTAGAGTTCTGTACTGTCTTAGATGTCTGCAGCCCTTATCTCCTATGACTTGCTTGTGAAATAAAATCTTTAAGAGTCCTTAAAGTGTCTGGCGCCCAACTTTACATTCGCATCTCACAACCAGCTAAAGACTCATACCTTCTGTGATGTGGCTACTAGACATTTAGTGATGGCCGAGGCTGTAGACAACCTGGCTGGAATTATAGTGGCAGTTATCTGGTTAATTCCAGGTGTCTAGCCTTGCCTGTACCCCCCTGGGCGGAGTGTGACTCTGTCATATTGTGGGACAGCCAATGAGAGGCACTGTAGTGTATGTACAGTTCAGCAGCCAATCACTGGGTTTCTCTCAGGCAGTGGTGCATGCTGGGATAGGGTACATATGCTGGAGGGAATTGCCATGTGCTCAGACTAGCCGGGACCAGCCATGGATTAGGGCTGGGTGCTGTTCAGCCTGCCAGCCAGTCTAGGCCTGGGGGTGGGCATGAGCTGGTGTGAGGGAAAGGTTTCCCTGAGGCCTCCAACATGGAGGAGGCCAGCGTTGCTGTAAGAAGAAGAGACCCAGTACCAATGATGGCTCTTGAAGTATCCTGGAATTTGGAGGACTTCAGGAGTATGTCGGTGTCTTTCCTGATGCAAATCTGTGTTCTTGCTTGCTCATCTGCTACATCAGTCACCATCCGATGCCTCCCAAGTGGATCTACACTGATATGCTAACAAGGTCTGGTGGGTCAAGGTCTCTTGTCGGTTACCCTGGAAGCTTAGAACCCCCATATCCTCTCTCCCCATTGAAGATGTTCAATAAACCGTTATTCAGCATTATACTACTGGAGTGGACATCAGTCCAGTCATTCAGCAGCTCCCTCGGGGGTGAGCGCTACAAATGTCAGGCCACCCTGCCTCTGAAGTCCCACACATGCTCCTAGAGGTCAGGGGGGTGCTACAGTCATAATGAAAAAGACACAGGGCCCTTCTCCACAGCCTTCCTTTGTCTCCTCCCACATCTAAAGCTGCTTCTGAAAGATCTTATAAGGTCAGGGATTTAAAGCAATTGATGTGTTATATATTTTCCTGATAACTTCCTCCTTCTCCCCCCTACCAGGTTCAGTTTTCGTTCCTTCCGCTGGGTTCTGGCGTTCCTCTTTGCCGTGGAGGAAGTGAACCGCACTCCTGAAGTGCTAACAAATTTGACGCTGGGGGCAGCAGTGATGGACTCTTGCACCGATGCAGCAGTAGCCCTAAGGGGAGCGGCATGGCTTCTCTCTGGGGGTTCTGAAGGGCCGTTAAGTTATCGCTGTTGGGGCCCACCACCATTGCTGTCCGCCGTGCTCGGAGACGCAGGGGAAGACTCAGCGCTCAGTCTGGCCGGTGTGTTTGGACTCCATAATTACCCTCAGGTATGGCGTCGCTGGCAGCATCCTAAAATGTATGTCGAGCCAAAAACCTTTCTTTCTAGTTTTGGTTAGCAAGGGAAGGATTGGAACCCCTGTAGGATTTTCATTGCTATCCGTGGCTCTGTTAGAGAAATGTTCCCTCACTTCCTGTCCTGGCCACCAGAGAGATGAGTATATTACCTCTTCCATTTCAGGAATGTATTGATTTGATGTCTTTAGAGCTTAAAGTAAAGCGGATGAGAAGCTAAGGCTTATTACATGGGCTTTTGTAGGACTGCAGCCTCTTATCACATATCTCTGTCCTAAGTTTGTAAGTTATTTTTGTCTGCAGCAAAGTGCTTAAAATGGGAAATATTCACACCAATAAGCAGCTATTTCCTTCCCTAGAGATTGGTGACCACAACCTGCTGCCTATGTGCAGGGTGACCGTCACCTCGCCACCCCTTGGGGTTAGCGCTAGTGGTGTCAGCACCACCTGGGTTGGGACTACAAGTGGCAGCAAAGTTGGAGAACCATAGCCACATATGCTGGTGGGGCAGCTTCTCTAGCTCTCCCTGGCCAGCTCACCCTGTTCTTTAGGTGTAACCATGGCAAGGGAGTTCTCTGCTCCCCCGCCAATAGTCACACTTCAGCCCACAGTTGGACCCATAGGACCACTGGTAACTCCCAAGGACTGGCCCACAGTAAGGCATGTCCCTCTCTCCAGCTGCTGCTGCTGCTGCTGCTGCTGCTGCTGCTGGCTGTTTTAGTAAACCTGTGATGACATCCCAGGATTCAAGAATAATATTTCCTCTCTTATGAGAGTTATAGAATTGTATTTGACAATATGAGGTGAAGAGGAAACCCAGGAACCACACAAGAGAATCCAAACCAGTCACTGGGAATTAGGTTTATGTAGCTTTATATCTTTTAGATATCTACACATTCTGCATACACAAATGTTAAGGTCAGAGTCAAAATATAAAGAATTTCATTAACGAGGAAGGAAATTCTGGGTTGGTGTTTACATCATAGTAGGGATGCACCGATACCGATGCTAGAATCGGTATCGGTGCCGATACCGAGTATTTGGCCGAGTACGAGTAATGCTCCAATGCCTAGCTCGGTCCCTGAACTTCTGGGTTTAGGAAGCCGAGCAGCGAGTCATTACATGCCGCCCGGCTTCCTGATTGGTCGGTAAGCCGACTCCATGCTCCCTCGTCACTTGGTGGTCAGGATCAGGACTCACTGCCTAGCTTCCTGATTGGTTGGGAAGCTGGCCAACCAGTAAGCCGGACGGCAAGTCATTACCCACCCCCTGGCTTCCTGATTGGCCAGAAAGCCGGTTTCATGCCCCCTCGTCACCTGGTGACAAGGGAGGATGGAGCCATCTTACCGGCCAATCAGAAAGCCACGTGCGTGTAATGACTCGCCGCCTAGCTTCCTGATTGGCCGAGAAGCTGGCCATTCAGGAAGCCAGGTGGCAAGTCATTACCAGCCACCCAACCTCCTGATTGGCTAGAAAGCCGGATCCATGCTTCCTCGTCAACTGGTGATGAGGGAGCGTGCAGACGGCTTCTGTGCTAATCGGGAAGCCAGGTGGCGAGTCACATCACACCACCTGGCTTCCTTAATGGGACTTCCAGTATCGGTACTCGGTATCGGCGAGTACCACTAAAAAAAATATCTGTACTCGATACCAAAAAAACAGTATCGGTGCATCCCTACGTCCAAGCCAAACAATATTAATATTGAAGATTATTGGTTTGTTAACTCTTACAGATCAGCTACTTCACTCCTCCAGCCAAGCTCAGCAATCATTTCCTGTTCCCATCAACTCTAAGTGTTGCCCCAACAGTCTCCTCACAAGCTAAAGGCTTTGCTCGGCTCCTTCAAGACTTCGGCTGGATATGGGTGGGTCTCCTCACTCAGGGAACGAGTGCTTCCACCCTGGACCAGACATTTATAGAAGAGCTGCGGGCCTCTGGCGCATGCTTAGCCTTTTGGGAAAACGTTCCTTCTTCTGCGAAAGAAATGTATCGCGTGGCAGCCATCATCAGGGGGTCAACAGCAAAGGTGGTGGTTGTCTTCTCCCTTGAAGCCTACCTGAATCCAGTTTTGTTAGAGCTGGCACACAATGGAGATCGTAAAGACAGAATTTGGATAACAGCTGATGCTTGGTCAACATCTCCGAGATTGGTAGGCTCTGGGCTCTCCCACTTTCTGAAAGGTTCTCTAGGACTTGTTCTTCGTAATGGGGCTGCTCCCGGTTTCAGAAAATTTGTATGGGAACTGCATCCTAACCAATTCAACAACCACCCATTGTTTTTGGAGTTCTGGGAGGAGGCATTTAGCTGTCGCTGGCCCCCAGGAGAGAACCGTTCATCCCTGCTTCCTCCATATAATGTTAACCTAGAACCTTCTACAACATCCGTGAACATATCATCAGCTCCTATTGCAGCTCTGAATCCTTCTTCCCTCAATAACATGTCAACATTTGCCTCACTGTCTCCATCTTCTTTAAAGCCATTATGCACAGGACTGGAGGACGCTGCTTCTCTACAGATATTCTCAGACATTAATGACCTCCGAGTGACATATAATGTCTATAAGGCAGTGAAGATGATTGCCAAAGCTCTCCAAGACATGGCTACTTGTCAGAACATGATCAGATCATTGGACACCGGTCACTGTGCAGACATTCAACATTTTCAGCCATGGCAGGTTAGGTTGTCACCAATGTGTATAGATACAGAACATATTTAAAGCTGATCTCCAGGTAAATAGCTAATTGCACAGATGAAATTCATATAAGGGAGCAGTTTTATCTGCCAAAGAAGGTGTATTATTGGCCAGCCAATTCAGAGTTACACATCCCTCTCTGGCAGGGAAGGAGACCTGATTTTTCTCTACTGGGGTTCAGTGACACTTTTAGATCTTGTCCTTCCCCTAGCCTGTGACTGGTCAGTAGACTGATGAGCTCATCTCTTTGTCATTCTGCTGTCCCCTCCTGCCAGCATGCTCCTTCTTAGTGTACGAGCACAGCAGCTGACTGGTCCCTTGTGGGCAGGGCAGCCATTAGGGGGGTACGGCTGATACTCATGTAAGGGGCCCGGGCAGCCTGGGGGGCCCGCCTGGGTCCCTTATATAACTATCGGCCGACGGTGAAGGGCGAGGAGGCGGAGGCCTGGCCCTAGCAGCACAGGGCCCCAGCATTGCCACTCTAGCGGCTTTGAGACAAGCTAGGGCCCCATCAGCGACGCTGCTCGTCTGATGTCGGACTGGCTGGAAGTGACGTCACTTCTGGCCGGTCAGGCGGCAGACGAGGCCATGTGTGCAGGTAAGAGGAGCTAGGAGGGGGCGGAGGGATGCAGCCCTGACCAGCCCACCTGATTCCCCTTCAGAGCCCATCATAGACAGTCTCAGATGGGCTGTGCAGCATCTATGATGGGCTCTGCAGGGTCACTCTCAGGTGGGTCCTGTGTCCAGTCACTAAGCCCTGCGCCCAGCACGTCACTAAGCCCTGAGTCCATCGCGTCACTAAGCCCTGCGACAAGCGGCGCGAGGGGGGCCCGGCCTAAAGCCGTGTAAGGGGCCCCAACATTTCTGATGGCTGCCCTGCTTGTGGGGATTCTCCCTCCTCCGGTATGGGAACGGTATTTTTGTTTGTATTTTGCCCAGCCATAAACTTTAATGATTTATTAATAAATAGAAAGCTGCATTCACTTGTGTATTTTATAGCTGCCTGGAGTTCAGCTTTGAAGCGTGTCTAAATCCCAAAGGTAAAATGTAATATATTGCAGTCCTTAGATGAAGTGTTAATAATTAGTTTTCTTTGTTCAGTCTTTATTTCCTCTACTTGCACCTGGTAATCCTGCACATAACACACTTCCTGTCCCTGGGTGGCTATGCTCACTCCTCCACTGTATCTATTGAGGGAGCCATATTTGTCACCCAGGCGGAACTTCAGATATGTTTGCCAATGTTTACACTGGGGTGATGGGATTCATACTTTAGAAGAAGATAAGAATGTTTTTGCTTCTTTCGTTTGCTTTGTTTAGCTTGTAGAAAAAAAAAACAAGGACATGTCATTTCAGGCAGGATCAGCAGGTATTTTCTGTACTTGCTAAAAATGTTCTGAAAAATTAGAGTGACACTAGACTCCGGAGTTACATCTTAAAAATACATTCAAGTATCTTAACTGTGACAAATCTGTACTTTCTTTGTGTATCACTCGGCTGTAGATCCTCCAATCATCTCTGAATTGGTGCTGACACTGTCCTTCCTTCTGGAGGGGGGCTACTTTTGTTCACCATGGTCCCTATGTGTGTTGTAAACCACACACCGCTCCAAGCTCGCTCCCGGCATGGACTACAATCTCAATACAAACTAGTTACCTAAACATGAGAGTATAGACCAGCAGTCGCCAAATGGTGGTCCGCGAGAAAATTTTGCCTCTGATGCCGTGCAGGCTGGGCCCTCATTGAAGCGGCATGGAGGCTCCAGGGCAACCTCTCACTGCCTCAAGCATCGGCTGTCACAAGGAATGCGCGACTCTCAGTACCGTGCGGGCTCTGCAGGAGGCGGGGCATCTCGTCAGCCCTTCAGGCTGCAGGACATAGAAAAAGTGGGGAGAAGCCAGGTAACAGTGGCTCAGTTTGGGGAAAGGGGAGGCACAGGGGTGGTTGGGGGCAGTGCTGAAGCTAGTGGGGGATGTGCCCCGGGTGCCGCAGGCAAGGCCAGTGACAGATTTGATAGGGGTGGAAACAATTAATATTATTACTGGGCTGGGGCGGGCGGCACCGCTCCATCCCTCCACCAGCACTGCCAAGAACACTTTAAGCTAAAGAAGCCACCACATCTAAGGACTGGTAAGATACATTTTTGTTGGGTTGGGTTTAGTTGGGTTTAGTTATACTTTACAGTGAACCTGTTCCCACATCATACACACTAAAGTATTTATAGTTTCCCAACAAGCGGCAAAAGTACTTTAAAACAAGCCTTCCTTTATCTCTGTAACTACAGACATTCCTCGGTTACCGACTTACCTGCTTTGCGACCACTTGCACTTACGACGGACCGCCGATCGACCTCCGACCTTACGCGTCATCGTCAGTGCGACGTGTCGCCGGCGGAAGTGACGTCCTCCGATCTTCACTGCGGGTCCCGGTAAGTATTTTCATTGCCCGATGTACAGTACACTGTTCGGTACTGTACATCTGCAACGCTATACAGTACTGTATAGAGTTCCTCACTTAACGACCAATTCGTTTAACGTCCTGGTCGTAGGAACGGAACTCGGTCGTTAAGTGAGGAATACCTGTATAAGCACTGTGGAAAAATGAATCTTCAAACCCGACCCAGGCACTGTGTTGTTCTATGGCAGGCCTCCAGGCCTCTAATAAACAAACAGATGTTTCTAAGCTGTAAAAAAAAAACTTTAGAGTCTGCTGATATCATTGAAGATCTGAGAGAATAAATCATTTGACATCAAAAGCAGCTTCAGAGGTCAGGAATGGCAGAGGTGTTGAAGGTCTTTTGTTGTTTGTCAAGAATACATGAATAGTCCATGGTCTGGACACAGGGGCACTTTCATATCAGTAAGGCCTCATTCACACTGCCGCGCGTATATACCTCGCGTACGTGCGTATTGTACCATATGCAACATATGCAAATGAATGGCTCCATACACATAGCCGCGTATGGAGCCGTATATTTGCGCAGCGTATATATGCGCAAAAACAGAATGGAACCGAGATGCGTCCGGGCAGCGTATTTCTGCGTATTTTTGCGCGTATGTGCGTACAGTTCATTAAAATTTCCATTAGGAATGATGCATTCTGGGAATGCAAATAGTGCACGCATATACGCACATACGCTCGTATATACGCACATAGACGCGTATATACGTAATATACAATTTTGCTTGCGTTGTGTGTGAATGAGGCCTTAAACTATAAGCTGCCCGTAGAATTACCATATTCGGTCATTCTTGCCTTTGGTCTTCCATTACAGCTTCTTTACTACCTTAAGAGAGTTCGGCTGAAAGGAAACATTGAAGACGACCTGTATTTCGACTCTCTTGGAAACGCTCCTGCAATTTACGACATCATTAGCTGGCAGGAGGAACTGACAGGAGAGGCCAGCTGGGTGCAAGTAGGAAGTTATGAAAGCGGTGCGGCGATGGGTCAAGATTTGTTCATCAACAAGAGCGCCATTCGATGGGGAGAACACTTCGATCAGGTAAAACACGCCTTGGGAAAAGTCCATTTGGTTTTCAGGAGAACATCATTCCAGTGCATTGTCTCACCTTGCCAAAATTTATTTTTAGCCGCCTGCTTCTGTATGTTCAGAAAATTGCTCTCCTGGATTTCGGAAGACCTCACGTCAAGATAAACCTCATTGTTGCTTTGACTGCGTGCCTTGCCCGTTGGGAGCTATCTCCAATAAAACAAGTAGGTACCTACATACTGCTCCCAAATCTTGCCGTGCTTCTGTATTGAATTACAAAACCCAAGCAATCCAGTCCCTACTGGGATGAATTGTCCCTATGGGGCAATATGTTCTACTCATTTATCCCTAATTTGACAGGTTTTAGGCAAATTCAGTAGAGATGGTGGGACTGGTTTTGGCCAAGCTCAAAGCCAAGAAGATAGGACACATCAAGAAGCTGAACTAGAGATTAGCACAAGTGTAGTATACTAACTACAAATAATGTAGTCACGCTTTGGACCTGAAAACAAGATGTAGCGCTCACCTCCGAAGGAGCCCCTGGAGGTATTGGGTCCTCCTAGCCTGTCTAGGGTTCGCAGTTCCATTGCAGCCCCAAAAGCACTTACTGATCCACCAGTGGAGACTGATAAACTGACCTCCATGCTGATGATCTTTTTCTTGCTGAAACTTTTATTTAACAACTTTGGGAGGGAGGGTTAGTGCACAGGGCACCTGTGGAGTCACTACAGGGGTGCGGCCCGCACCTGGGTGACACCATTGGAGTGCTGACACCAAAATGACTGACATTCATTTTGGTGTCACCCCCTCTGAAAAGTCAGGCACCTGCTCATGGACCGAGAGCCCGACAGTTGCTCGAGACAGTAGGGGACCCAGCGGCATACCTTATCTTGCCGGGTGAATGCTCCCTTCTCTCTCTGCCGGTGTCACTGTGGGGTGTCACCCAGTACATGCTACGGGTGACACCCTGC